ACAGAAGCATCGAGATGGTACACGCACGCTGTACGGCACAAGCTTTCGAAACTGCGTGCTCAGAAACTCATGCCATTTCTGAGGAACTCATTATCATGGTAGCTCCTCTAAGTTAGAAGTTGATTGAGGGGATAAAGTTGCCCGCGAAGGAACCCCCCTCAGGCTTCCCCAGGATTCTCCTAACTCTCAGCGACAGCTTCGTTTTGTTTCTCTCCACTCATGCCTACCATCAGAAAAACAGTCTTCTAGGGAATCTGGGATACCTCGGTGAGAAAATTCCCAAGAGAAGAGGAGACTCCTCCAAAGCGTTTGCTCTTCACACTTCCACGGGAGGGAGCCGGCCACGATCCCCGAGAGCAAAGAACCCTAAAATTTTTGTGGTGGTTCACAGATTCATGTGGGAGACAGGATTTCTGGGAAAGAAGGAATTTAGTACAGAGCTGCATGCCTCTGTTCACCTATGAAAAGTGACCGTTCACACAGCCTACAATGCTTGCACAGACACAAACTTGTGATCCCTGCTCCCAACTGGTTGGGTTTCCCCCCTCCACGTTCCTACTCTTTCCCCTGGCTCAAAAGTACATAATCTAAAGAGCCACAGTCTGAGGGCCCAGTGAAGTGAAGGCCTTTTTTTTTTTGCAAATGTCGAACCATCGGCTGCACAGGAAGGGAAACTTATAGGACCTGCACAGGGAAGTTACAGGGGTTGCCCGCACACGAGCAGCCAAAAACCCAGACAGCAAACGTCACCCAGAAGCTGCCCTAAGTCCTTGGGACGTCTCCGCTCCTGTTTGGGCAGCAAACACAAAGCGCCACACGATTATTTCTTCCCGAGAGAGCCTCCGCAAAGAATGGGGCCTATGTTCTCAGGATTCAGGCGGTCTTTTACCGCCGCTGAGGCAAATTTTTCCAGCTGGCTTTTTACTGGGGAAGGAGGGCTGTGTGGACAATAAGCTGAATTGCACCCTCCTTCAAAGCAGTCTTGAGGAAAGCGAAACCAGCAGGCTGGCCCTTTGGGGCTGACCAAGGCAACCCTTCCCAGCAGAACACGAGCCCTCCTGATCGCTCGGCCTCTAATCTCGTGCCCCGTAATCGTCGGAATCAGCAGCTTCCTAACCCAGCCGAGGAGATGGGGCACGCCACCAGCCACCGGCCTCCTTTAACAACACACCCACCGGTGGCTAGAAACCAGATAGCCGGCTGCTTTCCACAGGTACTGAATTAAAAACACACACACACACACACACTGTTGTGATAGAAACCATGCTAGAACACTAAGAAAACCCACAACCGCGCATCCTGCACCCTCTTCACCGAGACGGCCTCTCAGGTCCTCACACTCCCACAGGAAACGAGAAGGGGTTGTTTTGCTCAAGTAGCAAGCACGAAAACGGAGGGCCAGAAGGCTCGAAGCGGGAAAGGGGACATTTCCTGGTATTAGAACATTTCCACCAAGGTCTTGGGGCACCTGCTTCCCCCACTCACTCTACGTTTTCATTCTGCTGGAGTCCTCCCCCCCCCATCTTTAAGGACTCCTAAAAAGTTCTTTTAATGCTGCATTTATCCTATTGCATTTTTATCATATCTCCGCATATTTACTCTGTGCGCTGCCCAGATAACTTTGTTACAAGGCTGCCTGGGAATAACAAACACTTAACTAAAACATACGCAGTTACTCTCTAGGACTAAATGCAGGGGCTACAGTAACTTTTTTCTCTCTCCCTATTTAAGACATCGAGACGAAGCAGGCAAACAGCAAAACCAGGGAGGACCGCACAGATGCTGGCCTTGTTCCGAGGGGGAAATGAGTGGCAAGGACTCAATGGACTGCCCCAGAGAGGCGTCAGGCGAGTCCCTGTCACATGACTGGGCGGGAGGGGTGCGCTTCTCTCTCTCCCTCCCTCCCCCCCCGCATTCCTGGCCTTTGTCGAGGAATGCCAAGGAGACCAAAGTCGAGAGTGGTGGAAATCGGCTTGAGCCCGGCTGAAGTATTTTAATGGAGTGTGTACCTTGCACTTCTCTTCCACACACCACGAAGAGAACAAGAGCGTGGGCCGATCCTCAGTTAAGAGGACTGCGGGTGGCCGGGAGTCTGATCAACGCCGGAGCTAAAAATATTTCTCGTTCACCTTGCTGCTCAATGAGCTTCCACGCAGGGAGACAAACATATTTTGGGGGGGGGGGCGGCTCCTGAAGGTGGGCAACCTCGGAGGACTGGCAGGAGAGGCGTCTCCTGCACTCAAGACCTTGGGTGATGCTTTTGCTTACCAGCCAAGGCAGCTGACTGGGCACGGGGTGGAGGAGGATGCAAGGACGGACAGGGGAGACCCCTGGCCTGAATCGGCAGGGCTCCTTCGGGGCTCCTCTTTGTGGGAAAGGGAGGAAGGGATGCCTGAAGCAGTGGGAACCTCAGAACTTTCTCCTCCTCCTCCTCCTCCTCCTCCTGGCCTGAAGCGGCGGGAACCTCCGAACTTTCAACTCCTCCTCCTCCTCCTTCAAGCAGGCTTTGCTTCTCCAGCCCTCCAGGGTTATGATTCAGCCCTGATAACAGCAGCTTTATTGTGCAGATCCTGAGCCCAGCAGCTGAATGGGGGAGAGCGAGTGCAAATCAGCCAAATAAGGCCTTTTTTTTTCTTCCCCTGACTTGTACCAAGCCAGGGAAGGGTCCAGGAGCTGACGTCACCGGGAGGAAGCATTTAGTCACCCGGTTCCTCCCAAGTTCTGGAGAAGGGCCAGAGGGAGTCACCAAGCTTGCCCATCCGTTTCTCTTTGCGGCACAGAGAGCAGAAAGGCCCGGCCCGACCGCAGAAGGGCTGGGACCGCCGGAGGAGAGGAATCGGGGAGGCACAAACTGGCCGAATGAGCAGTGGAAAAGGCTCTGGCCGGAGCCCACAGGGAGGGGCAACGTGGCTGCCAGCCTTTCCGAGGCACAGCTCCACACGACACGTCTGAAGCGCGGGACTTCCTCTCGCAGCTGCCTCATTTCCTGTGGGGGGGGGAAACCCACAGGGGCCCAGCTGGCCATTTTCATCCTCATGTCCAGCCCTCTTTCTTAGCAGACCTACTCCACAGTCCTTTGGGTGCGCATGAAAGAGAGACAAAGAGAATAAGGGCAGAAGTGGGCATTCAGAGGTAGATCAGGCTTCCAAGGAGGTCCAGCCGAAAAGTCCAGAAAGCCGGTCACCAGGCAAAGCAACCTAAATCTACGTAACCCCCAGGAGTGAGACAGAAGCTCATGCTGTGATACTCAGACCCTCACATTAGTGAAGGACGTCATTCTTCTAGTCCCTGTGTCTGTCTGTCTGTCTGTCTGTCTCTCTCTCTCTCTCATGCTTGTTTCTGGCCTGAGCTTCCAACCCAACTCAACATAGGAACCATCCAGGCTGGGTTGGGAAAGTTTTCCAAGAAGGATCAAGCAGTTAAAAAAAAAATAGGAATGCTACAGAACCAAGATGAGATGAAGCCCAAGCTTCTTGTGATTTGAGGCTGATGGAGCTTCAGAACACGAAACGGGTCAAGGACACGGTTTAACATGCCAAGGTTTGTCCAAAGCAAATTAGATTCTCACCTCTCTCTCGCCCAGACGTTCGCAGGACACCTGATAAAACGACTTCTAGAGAAAGAAGGACTTTACCATGACTTTATCCTCTAAAAAAGTGAACCAAAAGATAAAACGTCACATGGTGTTCAGGTTGAAACACCATCGAAACATGGCGATAACAGAGAGCAGGAGAGAGAGAGAGAGAGAGAGAGCACTATCTGTTTGGACCCCCAAATCAGAAAGTGCAAACATGCCTCAAGCTTTTCCTGGTGGAAAGGACCCATCAGCCACCACCCTTAAGGGCAGGCGTGCCAAGGAACTGAAGCAGCAATGGATTTATTCAAGGGAGTGGGATTTTTTGAGCAGACCTGCCGTGGATCAGATTTTAACATCGTAGAGGGCACGGGCTGCTTCTACAGCCGTTGTGCAGAAGAAGCAACCCATGAACAAAGAGGGCTTTCAGTCCCCTTCCAGCACCGCTCTGGAAGAACCGCCTCACTCGGCTCCATTTGGGATCGAGAGAGCACACGCCCTTCTCATTCCAGCCAGCCAGCCTCCGTGAAGTCAGGCCGGGCTTTCCCTGGGACACGCCTGGCTGGGAGGCCCACCTCCTCCATTCCACGTATTCCGAAGGTGTGTCAGAACACGGTTCTCCTTCCAGGGCGCCTCTTTCTCCTGCTTCCACCCATCCTCTGCAAGGCATGAGCCATGAAACTCCCTCCTGGAGGAGAGGCGGCCAGCCAGAAGCTCCTTAAGAAACGTCTCCCGAGAAGCAGGCCAACGGTTCCACCACCACCACCCCCAATGCAGATTCCACACTGGGATTGTCTTTCAATGGGCTGGACCTCATGAAAGGGGGGAGATGGATTCACTGGGGGGGGGGCTGCCAAGTGTTCAGCCAGGAAAGCTTCATTCAGGCACAAGCGTCCCAGCCCTCGTCTCCTTGCACGGAGGCAGACCCACGACCCTCCAAGAGATTGTCCACCGGCAAGTCACTTTCAGGGAACCCAGTCCTGGGACAGGAAGCTCCATAAATCAGAGGCTTTCTTAACTCTGCTGGAGATCACAGAAGGAGTGGCTTAAAACCTTTCATGGAACACGCAACTATTATTTCCAGATCATATAACCACTCCTGTGGCTGTTGTTACATGCTGACAAGTTGCCTTCGATGTATAGCGACCTTGTGAATGAGAAATGTCCTGTCCTCAGCTGTTGTAAACTCAAGATTGTGGCTTCCTTTTGCGAGCTTGTCCATCTCACGTTTGGTTTTCCTCTTTTCCTGCGGCCGTTGGCTCTTCCTAGCATGAAGGTCTTTTCCAGGGAGCCTTGCCTTCTTACGTCCTTGGCTGAAGTAGGACAGACAGCCTGAGTTTCGACTGGGCCTCCTACTTACCAATAATCAGTACTAGAAATCCAGGAACACGCGCAACGGGTTCTCCGTCAGGGAAGCATGACTAACCATGATCTACCGTTGATCTCTCCCGGAAGGTATGTGCCCCTGACGCATAAGAAGAGCGTTTGTGCAAAGGAACAGGAAGATGAAGGAAGCCTCGAGGCTTCCAGTAGGGGCAAGCCTGGTTACGCCTGTCTAAGAGGTAAGTTTGAAGCTTAAGGCTCGACACCTCAGCAGCTCTGGAGACGAGCCACTCGCGCGACAATCAAAATAGCTGGAAGGTGGGGTTCCTCCCCCACCCCTGCTTTTGCCTCCAATTAGCAACTACAACTACCATTTGCTAATGCATCCCTTGTACCTCATCTTACGTTCCCCTGTATTGGCCCAAAAAGAAAAATCATTAGCAGGCCCATATACCGTTTCGTCTCAGCATGGTACAAGAAATGGCAGAATATATTCTCATGTTGCTGAGGAAAATCCTTGTGCATGAAGTTGCGTTCAAGCCAGCCTCCTTCACTTTTGTCCCTTCTGATCTGGATCGTCCGTCCTTCCCCAGATGTTGCTGAGGCCACCACTGATTTTATCATTTTAAGCAACCCCAGTGAGCCTCGGATTTGGAAGGAGAGGAGGGGACGGACGGTTAGCACTCTTCATCCCAAATGGGGCTTTTATGACGGTGCCCACCATGTTGGGGAGGCCTGAAAAGGCCTCCACAGGCCTCTCTCCCCGAATCTGCTCTTTGACCGGAAGATTACCGAATAGTTTAAGTAATAAACATATGCCGCTTAAGAGCTTCAATGACAGTATGTTCTTGGTGTATATAAGCCAAGGGATGAAACAAGCATTTTGCTTTGGGCCTCATCCTGCTAAGGGAAGCGACGGGGCTCGGAACCCAAAGCACCAATCAGGCCATTCAAATCAAGCCCCGAGCCGGCAAAAACACTCTCCATTTGTCCATTAAACCGTCAGTTTATGCACAGAGCCAATCTTTCCCCTTGCAAACATCCATGAAAGGAAACGCTCCTGAGAATTGTCACATTTCACATGTACGCAGCACACTTAAACATCTTCAACTTGGCTACCATCTTCCCAACCCAACTCAACATGAATACCCACCATTATGACCTCCATATTTTCCACACAGGAAGCGCTGACATTTGACTACACCTTCACAAAGCCAAAAAGACAGATAAACACTTACAGCTGAAAAAAACCAACACTCCAAAAATTATAAAAACAACTAACCCCTCCACTTCCTTCTAAAGAGGCTAACCGGTTTCCTTTTGCGGATCTACCTATACCAGGGGGGGGGTAACAATCCATAAACACAGAGGATATCAAATCCTTGGACGGTGCCAACCTCTGAGTGCCAGGTGCTAGAGAGAAATAACAGGAGGGAGAAAGGGTTGTTGCTGATGCAGCATCTGGACCTTTTACACCAAGAGTTGTGCCATACGATGGAGAGAAACCCAAGAATTCTGTTGTCTTGGATGTATACAGATAGACACATGCATTTATATACAGACTCAGTGGAAAGGATATTTTTTGCTACAGAATCATAAACAGAGAACTTGATTTAGTTTCAATGAATCCTGGGTGCTGAATGAGCCAGTTCAGACAAACATGACGAAAGCTACTTATGTCTATGGACTTCAGCAGAATTTTCATCAGCCTATGTATTATATGATTGACCACCATCGTGATTTTAATTTTGCTTTTAGATAACAATCCACAAACACAGAGGATATCAAATCCTTGGACAGTGCCAACCTCTGAGGGCCAGGTGCTAGGGAGAAATAACAGGAGGGAGAAAGGGTTGTTTCCGGTTGCAAGGTACCCCCACGTCCTTGAGGTTCCTCCCTTAGACATAGAAAACAGCGGAAAGTCATCTAGATGGGTTGATAGGATGCTGGGATATTCTGGGGAGATTTGTGAGTATCTGCACAGCATGAATGGGAGTAACATTAGGGATGAAGTAAGGTGGAGATGGGCTTAACGTTTCATTAGCCATTTTATTTATTTAAAATGTGTTTACCCCGCCTTTCTCCTTAAAGGGACCCAAAGCAGCTTACATTTTAATTGTAAGGCATTACAAGAAATCATTTCCGAAAGGGTGGGGCAGCTTAGGCAACCATCAGAAACACTTCCCGTATTTAAGGTCAAAAAAAATTTTTTTTGCTTCCATGAGCAAATTACCAAAATTTCTTCATTGGAAAAAGGAACTGCCCATTGCCCACTTCATTTGAAAGGTCCAACTAGTTTTTTTTTAAAGGCAAGCCATATATTCACATTTTTGTGTTCTTTGAGTATCAGCAGCTTCTTCTCGTTTTCTTTTTTTATAGCACCAGCACTGAAAGTCCTGAGCCAGCTCAAATTTACCCTACAGAGCCAGCTTCTTCTTGTTGCTACACGACATCCGGCTCTCTCTGCGGCCGACTGAACAGCCAGGCGTACCCCTTTGTCCTTCTGAGGGGTCAAGAGGCCTGGCAACAACTTCTCCCATGCAAAGGAGGGCCTGCAAGTTCAAACGGAAGTAAGCCATCCCAGAAGTAACACCCCCCCCTCAAGAAACTGGCTTTCGTATCTTCACAAAAAATCGGTGACTTTCCAGTGCAGTCAGTTCTCCAGCCACCCAACTGCTCAGCAGATATTTTGCAGGGGGCAAAATGGACATCAAGTGTTGGGGTGCTGCTTGACTCCTTCCCCAACCCACTCCTGGCTTCACGCGCTCATTTTATTCCCCGCGCGTCTGTCTGAGAACCGAAGAGCAGAGGAATCAAGCAGTGCACCTCAGACGCCACTTCTTTTAACCTCAAGCACGAATATCTCACATATGCTAGGCTCCTATAATTTGGAATTTAATCTCTCGGCAGCCACCACTTCTTGCAACCTGCCTGGCCTCTCAGGACCTCATAAATGTGACTTAGCAAGCCTTTTTTTCCCCAAACAGCTGCATCATACATGTTTGCTTTGTGCACCAGAGAGAAGTAACCTGTGATTGCCTGCACGTGTTGATGGATTACCACGAGGCCTCTCACAGCTCCTCACCACCGAGCCTGTCAGCTCACAGGGCTGGGATCTGCAACCAGGTAACCATTCAATTTCCTGCCACACTGCAGACAAGAAGCCACCACAACCCAGAACTGAAGCACAGTGTCTGAAGACGACAATCTAGACTCTCCGCAGGTGCAGGAGAGACCTGGCTTCTGGGCTTATCAGCTCATTCCAGATTGCCGTACATCTGTGGCGCTTTATGCATGCACACCGACGGGACTCTGCCAGCTGCACTGACTTCTGACTGATCAACTCAAGACTGGCTTAAAGGCTTCGTATCTCCAAGTCGTTAAAGGCTGGACGGCAAAGCTACCTTTTCAGTTGGGGTCCAAAAGGGAGGCCTGTGTGCCAGGTGGGACGAAGGAGCACCGCCTGCCTGCCACAGGGCCCTGCCTCTGAGAAAGGAAACAGGAAGAAGCAACCCTGGGTTGCAACAGCCATCATGGCTGCTGGGTGTCTGGAGGGCAGTCATAAACCAATTCAAGGCTGCATGGCAAAGCTATCCTTTCAGTTGGGGTTCAAAATGGAGGCCTGTGTGCCAGGCGGGGACGAAGGAGCGCCACCCCCCCCCCGCCACAGGGCCTGCCTCTGAGAAAGGAAACAGGAAGAAGCAACCCTGGGTTGCAACAGCCATCATGGCTGCTGGGTGTCTGGAGGGCAGTCATAAACCAGCAACAAGCCCTCCTCCGGCAGGCACGCCACCATTCCTGGCAACTGGTGGAGGATGCAAGTCCTTCACATGAGTCAGGGGTGAAGAAAGCGTGTGTAGAAAAGGGCCCGGTAGAAAAGCAAAGCCGCTTTTAGGGGAGGGAAGACTCCAAACGGCAATGGTTTTACTAAGGATTCTTATACATGCCTCTCATTTCAATGGTTATTCCATTCAAGTATCAAATAACAGTCCATTTAATGAACCCATTGAACTAAAAAAAAAAAAGCAGCGAGAATGAAAGAATTGGGCAAACCTTTGCCAGCAGTCAGGTGGGACCGACTCACAATGCATTCATTATTTTAAAAGAGATATATGTATTGCGCTTCCCCCCCCATGCCACTACAAGTAAACCTTACTTTTCTTTGCCTTAAGCTAACCATCCTATGACTATCAACGTCTCTGTTTTGCTTCCTCAAGCTTCCAAGTTGGACTCTAAGAAGCAACTGCAAAGTTTCATGCAAAAAGGGTCTTTCTTTCTTTCTTTCTTTCTTTCTTTCTTTCTTTCTTTCTTTCTTTCTTTCTAAATGCCATTCCTACAGAAAACCTTTTTTTTCCAGAAGCCAGTCAAGTACGGACTTGACAAATCCAGCAATTAAAAGCAAACAGGCCTCCTTAGCCAAGAAACGTTTCTCCAGTCATGCTGGGGCACAGCACCGCTGAGATTCAGGAGTTCAGTTACAAGGAAACGAGTTCTCAGTTCCCAAAAACCTACATGAAACTCCAGTCACAAACCCTATTCCACCACTAGTTACAAAGAACTATCTTATGGGTCCCACAAATAAAATTATGTTCCAGTAGTCACAAGGCGAATCTCTGAGATTTTTTTTAAAGGGGAGGAGATGGGGATTGATAGATGGACACAGAGCGTGCAGGTCTGCCAGCCTCCATCAGTGTCCCAGCGTTCTCTGCAAAACTCTCTCTCTCAAACAATAAGGCAAGAAAGCGGAAGATGGGAGCGACAGCATCTTAGAACTGCAGAGCCAGAAGGGCCCCTTTGGATTACTGAGCTCAACTTCTGTCAAGGAGGCACCGTGGGGGAACCGAACGCCACCTGAACCCCTAAACTCTCCAGACACCACACCTGTAGCTGGGATGCAGGCCAGCCCTCAGCAAGAATGAGAGGCAGAAGCAAAATGCCACCATCTTCCATGATTGTCTTTACATGCCATGGGGGTCGCTTCCCAATTATAGGAGCCTAGCCTATGTGAGAGATTCATAGACTGCTAACACCCCCCCCTGGGGCTTTCTGTGGTTAATCTGGACCCAAGTCTCCTGCGTCTCAGCCCAATGTGCAGTCCGCTAGACCACACTGGCTCTTTCT